AAGAAAAGCATGAATTCTCTTCTGTATAAAATGGATTATCCTTCAAATATAGACCAATAAATTGCATTTTTCAATGTGTCAGTCAATGCTCCAAACATTTTTCTCAACATGTATATCAGCTGAACTGAGCCAAGTTTCTGTGTAAGGTTTTACTTTGTGGAATTTTTTTGGGGTGTGTGTGGGTTTTTTTTTTTTTCTTTCCTTTTTTGACTCTTTGTTTGCTCCATCTAAGTTTCAAATGCAGCAAAGTCGCAATCACTCAAATATCTCAGCACCAAACATCTTGTTGCACAGAAAGGCCCCACCACTGACAAGAAAACCACTGAAAAGAAAAAAGACAGCAAAGTCTTGAAAATGCAAACTGATTGGAGGATAGAAGCAAAATTGTATTGTGGTAATGCACCAAAAGCAAGCGAAGCTCATCACAGAAAGGAAGAATATGTTTTTCCTTCCTGCAAGCATTAAGACTCTTGGGGGAATCTCATATATCACTCACTTCCTTCAAAACAGTATGAAAACTGTAGGGTCAAGGATATTTCATGTGTCTGTCTCAACAACAGAACTAGAAAGGATGAGAGTCCAAGGAGACTGGCCCTTGTCCCCTTATTCCCTGCTACTACTTCCATATCTCAGCAAACTCCTAGCTTTAACACACCTTCCCTATCTGACTCTATTTTCTCAGAACAGCCTTTAAATTTAATACTGCATACAATATTTGTCCAAAACACACATCTGAAGACTGCTGCAAATGCTGCCTGAACATCTCCAGGATCTCCTAAATCAACAAGGAACAACATGGCTTGTCCTTATCTGGGACATGCCCGTATAAATCACAGCAGCTTTCTGGCTGTCTTGCCAAATCTGAGATTTATGTCATAAATATAACTCAGATCCACTGTTTACATTTTATTCTGGAAAAGCTGTGGTGTTATCAGGCAACATCTAAATCAGATTAAGAGAAACAAAGCTTTATACATCTTGGAATAAGTTTGAATGGTCTGCTTAGAAGCCTAAAAAATAATTTAACACCCTCCCACCCCACCCCAAAATCCCCTCAGCTCCTCCCCCAAACACAAAACCAAAAAATAAAGGTGTTGTTTCCCCAAAATGTTATTTGACTTAGAGCCTTCATATCAAGACAGGTGCCCTATCTACTCAAATAAATATCAAGAAGTCCATGACTGCAGCTTTCCATAAACATTCTAATGAAATACACAGATGTAAAAAATTAAAATGGTTAAACAATTATAAATTTTCAGTCAAACTTGCTTATTACTTAAATCCCCTACATTTTATCCTTGGCCAAAGTAAACCAAACTGACTTTACACTATAAAGTTTTATAGAACTGGAAATATTTATAGCCCCCAAAAATGTAGAGATCCACAATTCGTCCAACTCAATTTTTTTTTCTTGAAATGTTTTGCGTAAAATAAAAGCACTGTGAAAAGAAATGTATTTATTGGTGGCTGAAACGAATCCCAAAAACCAGCATAAAATATCTGCTAGCTACCTTATAGTGTATGAAATTGGTCCTTCTGTGAACTACCAGTAAGAGCTCTCTTTACAATTCTTATACAGACTTCATATATCCAGTATTTTTCATTTTTAAGATGCGTACACACATGCACAAAACCTCAGTCATTTACACTGCCTCTTCTTTGGCAAGCCTGAGGAAATTTAAACCTGCTCAAGCCTGAAATGGCCATGCTTAGGAAAGCAAGAGCAATATAAGAGAGCAGTTTTCCATGCTCTGCTCAAGCTTCACTTATTCTGTCACACATACACACATACTTATCAAAGGAAGTCACAGCTACAAATAGCAAAGTGGTAAGAAAAACAGTTCTTTACAAAAGGTTTACAGAAAACAGATTTGTCAGGGTGGGGAAGACGTGAATAAACCAGAGATGCGAGCCTGGTTGACTGATATTACATAAATATGTGCACTGAAGCTTAATACAGTGACATCTTCAGACCAAACTGGACACCTATTCCACTAGGAAGGGAATTACATTCCTTATAAAATTCACTTGTAAAAATATGTTGCCAATCTAAGCAAGAGAGCTGCAATTCTCCCCTGGTGTACCTTCAATCCCATACAAAGTGCTGGTGACAGTGGTGTGGCACTGGTACTGGTGTGGGAAACAGTATCTTACTTTTAAACAATCAGAATAGATACAGGACACTACATGCCCTTTATGGAGAGCATCAGAGCATCTCTTCCATGTACTTTTTGGAATTCACAGAGAGAACCTAAGGACCATCTTGGCCTCCACTATGAGAATGTTTTGAGAACTCATTCTATTTTCTTGTACTTTTGCTACACAGCTACATAAGCCACATGGGCACATGCCAGTCTGCTGAGTAGTTGATAAGTTAACAGAAAAACCCCACAAACTTGATCATTCACACATAGAAGATGCCATTCTCTAAGGGTCTAAAGTTCAATCACAATTAAAACACAAACACAGGTGATTCAGGCCATACCGCTACTCAAACTAGACAGATAAGAGGTGGGCTTTTTTAATCTTTTTTTTTTTTCCTTTCAATAACTGGAGGAGTCACACCATGAGCATGCTTGGTTCCCTTAAAAGATTGGAAGCTTTTTGTTTTGGTAATAACCAGCTTCAGGGAATGTCAACACAAACAGCATCAGGAGACTGAACATCTGAACCTACAGATCTGGAAGAGCAACCACTGCAAATCCACTTAGAAAAAGGCTTCTCAATGGCTTCCTGTTGAAGCCTGTAGGTGGTTCATCAAGCCGAGTCCAACGACAGCTGCAATTACACCTGCAAACCTAGACTCTGCAGAAAAAGGAGGCAGCAATCATCTACCATGTTGTTCAAGTCTACAGCAAACATTTCCTTCTCTAATAGCTGGGTGGGTTACTTTTTTGTTTTAACAGCCTGGCACTCCTTCTATCACTTTCTAAAGTGCAGTGATCAAACTCCATTAGTTAAAGTAAATGTGACAAGGAGGTAACTATTAAATGGAATTTAAGAAACTCCATTTAATAGTTTAAGAAATCATATTAGCATTTTTTAAACAACTTGGAACTTGACAACAGCAGACACATGAGCAAATGATCCATCAGGTGGTTTTGAATTTTGTTGTTTAGCAGCAAGTTGTTGGAAAGACAAACATGACTCTAAGCATAGCTGGTTGAAAACAGATGTAAGGACAAAAAAAAAACCAAACCAAAACAAAACCAAACCAAAAAAATCCCAACAAAAAAAAAACCTCAATTCTTATTTTTTACCCAGCGGAGACACTGATGTGACAGGTGCCATTACAGGGTTTTCCTGCACACTCTGAGCAGAGAATTTTAGAGGTAATGAAAATTGAGAGTATTTCCCCTCTCTTGTATTGCGTCTCAGAGAGGTGACTTGTTTGAGGTGGAGTTTTCAGATGTAGTTTTAAAAGAGATATTTTAACCATGCAGCTTATAAGTGCCCCATCAGCACACGGGTCATTAGACAGCGGTGCTAAGGATGCTTATCCAGAATTCTGCTGGAAAAGCCAAAGGGGAAGAACAGTTCCAGAGCACCAACTGCAGTGGAAAACTAGGAAAAAAATCCTAAATGCAACTTGCAGGAATACACTACCTTTAAGTATATTATATGGGAGTGGATAAAAAAAAAGTGAGACATTCTGGCCATTTAGGTCCTTTCACATTTTGCTAGCATTACCTGTTAGCATTATCAAAACTATTCAGATCTTTAACTGACAAACTGACATCTGAATGCTCAGTTTTATAACCCAAAAATTTGCCATTTTTTAAGTCATTGATAGAAGAGAACACAGAAGACTGGTTTTGTGCATTTTCACAAGGAAAGAAATTATCATGTGAGCTTGGAGCTTTTTTACTTATCAGGATAAGCAATGACCTTATGCTATACAGACAGAACAACATTTCTCTCAGAAAACTTTTAAGCAAATATAAAACCATCCTTGCAAGACTTGCTTTGCACCACACAGGAACATGACTGCCACCCAACTTAATCCAGCACTCTCTTTACCCCTGGCAATGACAAAAGGCAGGAGCTATTTCAAGAACTGGAGGGTATTTGTTCTACATCTACAGCCTTGTTTGACACCCACCCAATGAGGCTCTTGTACAACCTGACTCTTTCGACCTGGCCTGGGAGCTGCAACCCAAGCCAGCTGGACTGCATATGCTCATGAAGACATCATGTTTTGTCCTGTTTTGTTTGGGGTTTTTGTTGTTGATAGTGGTGTGTTTGTTTTCCTTCAAAGAGGGACGCAGAGATCCACTCTTTTTGCTATGACACTGCTGGATTTTGCTGCATCAGAACAAGTTATAATTTTTATCTGTTCCAAGAACCTCGGCCGCCGCGTAGTCCAGCAAGGAAACCCAGCAATTCCTTCTCCCCTTCCTGGTGTCAGCCAAGGTTTAAAAGGTTCAAACTCCAGCCAGGTTTCAGCCATGGGATGAGGCATTTCAGCAGGTAAGGGTGTCCCTGAGATGGATCCATTGTGAGCTTGCTGGGGTGCTTGGTGGCTCACAGTGTGTCACAGGATGGGCTGGGGCACTGCTGGATCACAGCACACACCGGTGTCACCACACAAGAGTGAGCAGTGACACATCTCCGATTCTAGTTATTCTGGTTAGGAATTATTTTTATTTATTCATATAATTTAAAATAGGAGCAGAATTTTCAGCATTACTGTAGTTATCAGACTTGATTTTTGCAATTTACAACTGTTATTATTAGACCATTACTAGAATTTTGATTACTACCATCAGACGCTTCTTTTCGTGATGGAATGCACTATTTTTATTGCTTTGTTTCAGTATTGCGTCTAAGTACTGTGGTTTTGCACTAGATTTTAAAATTATATTTTAGTACTATAGTTTGTTGATACTATTTACCAATACAGTTTTTATCAGCAGCGGGTTTAGGCAATTTTCCTCCTCCCCCCCACCTCGCCCCGGACGCGTCCCCGGCAGGTCCCGCACGCCCCGGCAGCCCCTTACCCTCGCACTGGTAGCCGGCCAGCCCCCAGATGAAGTCGGTGCAGTAGTGGCAGAAGGTGGGCTTGGTCAGGGTCACCCTGCGGAACGCATGGCCCGGCGGGCTACTGCCCCCCGCCGCGGCGCGGCCCCGCCCGCCCAGCACCGGGCTGGAGGC